AGTTAAGTTGTCCAAGAGTGTCTATATTGATGGCTTACAGGTGTCCTGCTAATTTATATCGCTCTGGAGATTGGTAAAGCTTTGGCAGCAATCACGCTTGCGCTCGTGACGGTTCTATACGACCATGATAAGCATTGCGCAGTGTAAGTTTAGAATTTCAAAGAAATCATAAATCATCTTATTCTTTAAAGTGTATAGGGAAAGATATACATGGACCAGTTGTCAAGGTTTGGGAGAACAATATTCTAATTTCTGACTATTTTAGGATCAATTTTTCAATTTCTGCAATTTTTGATTTATTATTCTATCAATCCCGTGACCAACTCAGTAATTTTATTCTAAATTAAGAAAATCACTCGTTTTCTCGTCCCAATTGAATAACAGTTGTGAGAAGTTACAGGTCGAAATAATTTTTCTTCTCCTATATCTTGCAATTAATTTTGAAACATCAAACTTTTATCTCTTCACCTTATTCGAGACGCATAAAATAATATCGCTCTTAAATTTGTTCATTTTTAATCAGAAATCTAATTTGAAAAGCATTTTTCACAAAACATCCTTTATCTACTAAAGATAACTTTTTACAGTAAGAACCCATTTGTCATTTAACTTGGCTATGCCAATATTTTCATGCATAAAACACAAGCTTCTCATATTTGTACTTGATATTGACTTTCTATTGTCTTTAAATCTGTTTTCCAGTTCTGTACCTGCCTAGTTTCCTGCCCTGCCTTCTTCTGTAAAGTCTGACACATTTTATAACAAAGAAAATTTGATCATTATGCGTCCTTTGAGCAGAAAAATTAACCACCCCGTTTTCATTATCCCATTTTGTTTTACGAATTTGCCCACAATTCTAAAAAGGGGCTTCCACATTAAGACGCTAAGGACCTTGAATATGAATAACAGAAAAGAAGTTGTTAGAAATCTTAGAATATAATTTTTAGAACAAAATGCAGAACATTTGATTTTTCGCCGGTTGAGCGATTTCGTTTCTTCTGGTTCCTCATTTCAAAGGCAGCGTTCAGCATGTTCCTGTGTCTGGTAGCAATGGCGGTAAGTTTTCAGCTCACTTTTTAAAATTCAATTTGAATCAACTTTTTGCGAACTACATTCTTTCCAGCATTCACCTCAGCTGCATGACTATAATGCGGAAGATGACACTGCTCCGCTCAGCTTTTAGGGTTTTAGGTCTTCT